AATTGTTGGCGATACATACGAATGCAAAAATATATATTTACGAGCACAGGATCCATAATTTTTTGAGTTCCTAATGGGCATTTCCTACGAGAGCAGATGATTCTTACCACTGTCTCCATAAGATACGATGTAAAATCCGGTACGGATCATTTGCATGTGAAAATGTCAAAATAGCGCCTCTACACGTAGTGAGAAAATAATCGACAATTACAAAAACCGAGCTGCAAGACTGGAATAATCGTATCTCCTCTTCACAAATTGTTCTTTTTTGTGTACAACCTAAGCATCGATTAGGAAGAATTCACTGTATTCGTCAAAATTATCGACAGATTACGATTCTGTAAGTGTCGCAAATGTCGCATCGAGATGAACCCATCGAAATGTCCAAACAGCGCCAGTACATGTATTTGGCGAAATACTCAAATTAGTAGACGAATTACCAACTGCAAACATTTTTATCGAAAATGCTAGATGGCATCATTATGGATTTCTAAAATGTGTTTGCTCTGTCGGTGAGTATGCCTTTCGAGTTTGAGTGTTTTACCACTGCATGTAATGGCGCTAAATTTTGGTTTTAGGAGCACATAATTCATGCCGCGATTCCCGTTGTCCCGTATGAGCGAAGTGGCAAGGATCATTTGTGTTTACAATCTATGTAAAAGCATTTGTAGTCTCCATAGAATATACAGAATCTTGACCGGCGTTGTTTCACACAGCGAAAGTTAACCTTCCATTGGGTGACAGGCAATTTTCACTGTTTGTAATTCAGCAGTTTAATTCAGTTTAATTTTAACGTAAGTGTAAGAAGGAAGGATCCATCAGAATGGAGTGTTTAATTGGAATAAAATTTAAAGATTTCGTGTTGATCGCGGCTGACATGACTACAGCCCACTCGATAATGGTGATGAAGAACGGTAAGAAATTTGTTTAATCATAATTCCCACGTTATTTCAATAACTTGATTTTATATCCAACGCAAATAAAAATTGTATTACTTTCGTTATTTCAGATGAGCATAAAATACATAAGATCTCTGAAAAGCTAGTGATGGCAGTGTCCGGAGAATCCGGTGACACAACACAATTTTCTGAGTACATAGGAAAAAATATACAACTTTATAAAATGAGGAATGGTTACGAATTATCACCGAGAGCTGCTGCTTGTTTCACAAGGAGAAATCTGGCTGATTATCTCAGAAGTAGAACACCATACTTTGTAAATTTACTAATGGCTGGCTACGACGATATTACTGGACCAGAATTATTTTTCATCGATTACTTAGCGTCCTGTGTCAGCGTGCCTTATGCAGCACATGGCTATGGAGGCTTTTTCTCTTTGGCCATTATGGATAGGTACCATAAACTAGGTAATAAGAATTACTAATCGAAAATACTATTTCTAAAATACTATGGCACCTGGCATTACTAAAAAGGGAATTACATTTATTTTGTATTCATTACAGATTCTACAGAAGAAGAGGCATATAACTTAATGAAAATGTGTGTCAGAGAAATTCAAAAACGTTTAATAGTCAATCTTCCTAATTTCAAAGTACAGAAGGTATCCAAAGATGGCATCAAAGATTTGGACTCCATTACTGCAAAAAGTTTGGCAGTAGAAGATGCTGCTAAGTCATAAAATCACTATTTTTATTCGTTTGTTATCTACTCAATAAATGGTAATTGAAAAACGAGGACGATGCATGAATTTAAAAAAAAATGTAGTTTTATTATAGTTTCGAAAAAGTTTCTTTTTACAAATTGTGACAATCAACATAGTTATGGTATACAAAAATTGTATGCATTTAACTGAACAATAAATTAAGAAATATTTTCTACTGTCATAAAGAGATTAAGTCTGGCCTAAAGGAGCCAGACTACTTCTTATGGATCCACGGCGGACAAAAAAGATTGTACTTAATTTGGGTAAGACATATGGAAAGTACATATACTCAAAAATATGAATACATATATTGATGGAATTATTCAGCCTACCAGTAAGTTTAACGCACAGGAAGTGCCGCCAATTACAATAGGGAAAACATTCTCTTTTATGTAGAAATGTAAAATTTCAACCTAAAAATATGCGTTTCTTTTAAACGTATTTTACTAGCATCCCGAATATATTTAGGATACGGGTAATTTTTTACAAGGGAAGATTAAAATCGAAATTTACTCAGCTATGAAGAAAATGTAATACTTATATCAGCGGCGGAAGCCTGAATCTCTAACGCAAATGGTATACTAATGCCAATTCTATATCAAATCTTCATTCAATACGATTTGACTAAAAACCGAAAAGGATATGAAACAATTTCTATTCCCTATACCAATGCTATTGTATATATAACTTACGTTCTTTAGTAAATTCTCTATGTATTAGTTTCGTCGAATCTCGATTTCTACGATTCTCGGTTGTTACGGGAAACGAAAAATGAGAATACACTAAGTCTCGAATCATAATTGTTGCAGAACCGTGTTTCAAGGCATCATCTGATTACGGTGTTGAAAGTATCAGATTATATCCCATAGAGTGTGTCGAAAGCACAATAATGCTTCTCATGTATCGCGTGCTACGATTGTACATCTTGAGCATGAGATATAAACGATCGGTCCTGCTCCTGGTATTCAATGGATTTGTTAAAACAATATCAGCGTGATAGCGATGCTGAAAGGTTTCGGTAACGTGGTTCAGTTCCAATTCAAATATTACGACGTTTTCTTCGATTCTACTTGCGTCTGTTTTTCTTGTTTCTCTTCTGGTACAACTTTCGGATAATCCTCATAACTGTAACATACATAATTAATTAAGCTAAAATCAGCGAATATTCAAACGGACAATTTAATTGAATGATACATACGAAAATAGCGCTTTTATGTCTCCTTTCACTAACGCCAACAGTATAGGAGTGCCCAAACAAGCGGGCACCAAGTATAGTAGAGCCGGTTGTGCGTGATTAAATAAATGCATGATCAACATTGTGATCAGTAATCCCATGAAGTATGCGAAAAAGGTGGCATAGAAATAGACGTTCGACTTTCTGCTCAAGCTGTTGTCGAATCGCAATAGAAGTGCAATGAAAATCCCAGGTAAAACGATGTCCCCCAAGCCTAACATGGCGAAGTTATTTGCGGTGAGACCTTTCTCCAATAGATCTTGCGGGAACACTAATTTAATTGGAACTTCGAATGATTTTGCGACCGTCACCATCACGTCTGTACCGAAGACCCAGAATGCATCATAGAGAAGAAGTCCGAATAACAAGATACATCCTGTTACGACATTGTTCAAATGCAACTGTTCTACTCCGTTAATCGCGAACGCGATACCAAACAAATTGTTTGCTATCCAATGCTAAAAATTCAAGTAACAATTATTTTATTGTATTTAGATCAACTTTGGATAAACTCCTATGAAAGGAAATATTAATTTTTACCTTTTTTAGAACGTACCATGCTCCAATAAGGGAACAACAAACCAGACAAACACAATCATGAAGATTGAACTTATAGGCTATGATAGACTCTGCATTTTCACCTTCTCCGCTGGTGAACATGAAATGGTATTGAGTTTTTGGAATAGCAGCAGGTACCAGCGATGAAATTAAGGGACTGTAATTGTTTCAGAATTATTATACTTCAGTCTAAAGCTTTTTAAGTACATGAATATAATACGAATGAATTATTTATACCTGGTGACATTACACAAGGAAAAGATACCTAGGAAGAGGAAATAACTAACCAAAATTACATTGATATAGTTCTCCGGACATATCTGAAACAATACGAAAACATTAAGTATCTCTTAGGAAACCACAAAATGGGAAAGTATCTGATTCGATACCTTGTATGCCACATAGAGTCCGACTAATGTGAAACTACAAATGAATGGATATATCAATGCTTCTTTACAAGTCATTGCATCTGGTGCTCCTTTCTCTTCACTATTTGCCTACAATACATGAATAAATATGGTCAATATCGTATCACGAATATTAATTACACGAAGTTCATGATTTTAACCGCAGATTTGGTGGTACAGTTTTCAAATTTCGGCATATTAATGGGAGTAAACATTAGCTGTGTTGAACTACAATTATCTTCAACAGATTACGGGTGATCTTCGCCTTTTTTTTCTATTGTAACAATTTGTTGGGGAAACGCGTGGCGTACCTGATGCTCCATATGGTGTTTAACAGCCCGATAGCTGCCAAAGAAGATCGGCAAAACAGCCATAATGATCAAGCTACCGTAAGCGATGGCCATTCCTTCGGGAGTCGAGGGTATTCTCCCAGTTATCGAGGCATTCCTTTCCGTCACATTTTCACTAATTTGGGCAACGATTTCATTAATCTCGCTAGCCATCTTGAACCTGTCGACACGACTACACCAACCAGATTCAGCGTTGCCAACAAAATCCCTCAACGAGGGATAAGGACGACGTCATATTAGCCCCCCCTCCATGTCTTTCATCACGTGCACGATAACATCATACTCACTGGATATGTAAATACCTAACATATGTAGACACATGTGATGCAATCGCACGAACATATCTATCATTTATTTTATCCCTGACAAATTAATGTAAATGGACTTAAACAATTGAGAATGGGACTCTGATGTATCGAAAAGTCTGTGGTATCGGAGTAGACCAGACTGGATCAGTCATCACGTGGAATTTCGTGTTACACACACATTTTGTCATTTTGAAAAACAGATCCTAAGTCAGTGCAAATCTATGAATAAAGTATTTAGAGCATATAGTCTAAGACATAAGAAAAATATGAAAGCTTCGCGCCTGTCCACTAGAGATGTCCGATTCTTTTTAAAGAATCGATTCTAAATCGAATCACGAGAATCGATTCTCGTAAAAAATCGATTTTGCTAGAATTGGTGAAAAATTATTATGTAATTTTATTTTTCACAATAGAAGCTGTACAGCTTTATAGCTTTTATAACAAACTTGTAATTGAAATAATAGTAATTAGTAATAAATGATCTCGTATAATTTTATAAATAACCTATAGAATTTTATGATGCCATACATTAAATTTGACAAAATTAATCGTACTTTAATTGCCAGTTTTTCATTAGTAATGTATGCAGAAACAATAATTATAGTAAATTATCAGGTAATATTCCGTAATATTTCTAAAAATCTTAAGAATCCAACAAATTAGATTAGGTAAAATGAGACAAGGTTATGTCCGACGATTAGAAAAGTGAAATTAAAACAATTTTAAACACAACAACTTTTCGTACTATCTTTCGTTTTATACTTGATCCAAATCCATCATCAGTTAAAATTCAAACAATAAGTTTGTGAAGCATACCCAACAAACAGCAATGCTTAGATAGAAATACATACTGCGAGGAAAGATAAGAAAATTTTGGTTGCAATGACGCCGTGCAATTATAAAACCAAACCAAGAAATATGAAAATATTTCTATTGGTTCTAAAAAAAGGAATTTGTGCTATATATCTTTATAATTTTGTACGTACGAATGCAATCGAACATCTGAGTTTCTCTAACTTTCAGTCAATCTTTCGGTTGGTAATAAATAAATAACAGCAATGAAAGAACTTCATTTCTACAATTCATATGTCGCTGAAATATGGAAGTCGGTTCTCGAATCTCAGGGAGAAGAATCGATTCTCAGAAATATTGTCTGTAGAATGTCGATTTAAAAAATCGATTCTTTTTACTAAAACAATCGATTTTTTCAAGAATCGAATCGAAATCGAACATCTCTACTGTCCGCGCCGGCGCATGACACCTACATTGACGCCCACTAACGTCTGACGTCTAACGCTGACACTGGAATCGAACCGCAAACGAATTCGCATAGCTGATCGATCCACTACTGTAGACTCCTAGGCCCACCCATCCACCACCTTGGACAGAATCATATACCATACAATTGTTACAACCGTTCGTAAGTAATGCTCACGGTGTAATTGTTATGTAGTTCTCTGAACTATATAATTCAAAGTGTATAATATTTATGTCATCTGAAGTCTTCCATTATTGAATGGTTTATTGAAACAATTACTATCATACACATTGTATTTTCGAGTATTCCAATTATTTTACGTTCATAAATGTACGTTTGTGTTTGTATCAAATCATCGATAATGTCTTAATCAATACCATTTAACCGACAATATTAATTAACTGTCATGGTAAAATCATCGACACTCATTTCACAGATATTGACATTGATATATTAAACGCATTAATTATCACAAAATAACTGTTCATCCAAAATAACTAATTATAGACTGAAATAATTTTAAATCTCTATGGTAATAACTATATATTGACCTTCATACATAACCACATAATAATGTATGTATTGAACAAAAACTGTCGGTGAACCGAATGTCGATGAATGTAAACATTAATGGTGATTTCACAATGTCGGTTAATTAATATCGTTAGCGAAATCAATGTCGGTCAAGTGGTGACTTCGGATCAATGTCGGGTCGGGAACATGAATTTTTTTTTAAATCGAGACGGGTACTCGAAAATTTCGATATTCTCGAATTTATTGGGATTTTCGAAAAGTTCGAGAACCCGGCTACATTTCTCAAACTACCGTGCATACTTATTACTTATTTGTACACTATTCCTACTCCATATATTTCGAATTGTACAATTTTATGATAATTTGCCTGTCACATATACAATAAAAAATCTGAAACCATGAATGTATTAAAACGCATGTAAATGATCGGAAATCCCGATTGTATTATTACAAAATTATGTAATGCGGAGTACAGTAAATTCTCCTAAATTGTCCCCTCTTCTTGGAACCAGAAATGGATCATTTGGAAAGAGGAGATATGATTATTCGAACATTGCGACTCGTTTTTATAGTTGTTGATAATTAGCAACTATATCCACTAATAAGTAATAAGTATGCAGTTTTCTGTACAATTTGAGAAACGGTAACCAGGTTCTCAGAATTTCTGGAAATCTTGACTTTTTCGAAAAGATTCCTTCGAGAATCTCAAAATTTTCAGCAAACTCGATTCATTCGATAACCTCGAAATTTTCGGGAACCCGACCCGATACGACCCATACGATTATTTAAATATTTATCTTTTAGCTAAATAAAACAATGGCAACTAAACGTAAAATGACAACAGAAGAATATTCTGAAGCAGTTCCAGGTACTTCTAAATCTTCAAAGAAATCCAGTAAAAAAAGGTCCAGATCTAAAAAAGGAAAAAAAACAGAAGTAGAAACAGATATAAAAACAGAAATAGTAACAGGAAAGTGTGAAACAACGAGATGGTAAGTTTTATTATACATGTGTAACTTTTAAAAAATTTGGTTACAATTGCAAGAATTGTGTATTTTAATCTTAAACAATATATTTAATTTAAACAAATACATACCTTTGTGTAGGATGAAGAAGTATTTAAAGCTGCAAGAGGATGTGGGACCCGATGAAACACATGGTGAACGTCTTGGAGGACATGTTACCGATATTATTCAGAAACTTAATGTGGTTATTGTAAAAGTACTCTCTCCAAGTAATCTTCTGTTCTTTGGAAGCCCATTATTTTTACATTGTTCAGAAGTGAAAAACTGTAATACAGAATTTATGTTTTTGGGTTATATTGATGATATATTTGGATCAATTGGAGAGCCTATGTATTCTGTACAGATAAAGTGTGATGTGAATAATATTTCGAATAATAATGCCGAAGCATATTATTTTCCGGATAATCCGAATACTTTTGCTTTGACTGTTGAACGTATAAGAAATAAGTTAAAGAATAAAACAAAATACCGACTTACAAAGAAAAATATTTGAAAATTTCGACTAATCCTTTTTTTTATTAATTAACAAAGTGTGTAAACTAATGTATTTCTTTTGATTTGTAGACGAATATGTATCATGACATTCTTTAATAATAATAAATGACTGTGCGGATAAAAGTATTTGACTAATGTTTTTTGGTTTGTTTTTTGTACGAAATATAATTTAACAATATCTAGATGCTGGCAAGTTGTAAGTATATACCCGATTCTCATACTAACAAGTTAATACATCTAATGAATTATTTCATCATTCAAAAATGGGGCTTCAAAAGCCCCATTATGTCGTCAGGTTTTGGATCTCTGTTCGTTGAATTAGTGTTGTGATAACATAATCGTGTTGCAATAGTTTAATTTTCAACAATAAAGGGCAGACCTCGCCGCCCCAACAACAGTGCAGATAGGCACATTCGGGACCTGCAATAGCGTTGCGAACAAATAAACACGCGTTGCTTTAATTAATTTTGAACGAAATTGAAATTAATTGTTTAAAGTACAGCGTTGCAAATCAAATAATCGCGATTTTGCGGTTTTTGATTCGATTACAAAGTTACTTTCACGTTGCGTGAAAATCGCGTTGCTATAGATAGCTTCGTTTATCTTTCAGAGCCTCATGCCGCAGCTACGATCCTTTGCAGTGTAGGTGTTGCGAATTAACAACAATATTGTAGATTAATGCGAAAAATGGCTCGCATTTATTTACCTGTTTGACCTAGATTTTCTCTCTATGTGAAAAATATAATTATAACCCACCTACTCAATATAAAATTCTTATGAAGCATTACAAGATTAATATCGCATGAAGCGTAAATATTTGTATTCCTTTTTTGAGAGGATTTGGTTAATCGAGGACGTGTAGCATATGTTTACTGGATCACTGCGATCCATTTTCCAGCGCCCACGTTCACCGACAATACAACGATAAAAATCTACTGCATGTATTTACTAAAATCCACCGTAAGTTCAGCGGTCCTTCGTGGTTCCATTTAGAGTTACGTAGGTAAAGAAGAAATTATCATCCGGGAACAATTTTGGAGAAGTTTCAGTGCGTTTTGCCGGTACATGGCGCTGTTACATGACGACAATTATATGCGACAAGTTTATGAAATTTACTAATTATATATATTCTAAAATCTTAATTGCACAAATCGATCAATAGTTTATTAAATCAAACTCCTTTTATTAATTTAATTTAATGTTTACATATTTTATCTACAACCAATCCGTGGCATTAAATTGTAGTGCGATAACTGGCCGCAAGATGTCAGTCGAAAAGATGAAAACGACGAAAATCGATTTTTCATGGCAAACAGCTTATGCGCATTACAGTCCGAAATCATTCTAAACTAATATTTGACATCAAATTCAAAGCATATGTTACTTGTTAATCGTTCCTCTTCTACGAAAGCAACCGTTCAATCGCACCAATCGATTATTAAAAGACGCAGCATAAAACTATCCGGCGCGTAAATCAATTATTCGAATGTCAATGCATTTCGCGCCACAACGAGTTTGTCATCTCGCCGACGTGTGTCTCACCGGTCAAATTGTGCCGAACATACTGCTCCCAAATTTGTACCGCCATATTGTCTCTCGCGTGCGAGGAAAAACATTGTGATCACGTTGCGTAGTTTTCGAGGAAATTTAAGGAAAGTTGATTGTTCGGTGTGCCCGGAAACTGATCGTACATATTCGCAGGACGCACACGGAGGGTCGAAGAGAAATTGAATGTTGAATGACAAGTAATTATACAGGTACGTCGACCATTTTTCTGTGGACCTCGTGCTAGCGGGGCTTGCCTAGCGGCTTTCCTTTATCTCCGGCTTATCGCCGGTGATAAACCGTGGATTCCCGAAAATGATCATTCGCGATATGTAGTTCAACGATTCGACGGGGAAAATTTTGTTTCGGCTTCGAGCGACGTCGATTTTAACGTAACAGATAACTCGTATGGAGGCTGCGGTTATTTTCTCGATGGGTCGCACACGCCTCGACGAAATTTCGTTTGCCACGATACACGGGCACGTTTTCGCAAATACCAAAATTCGGATGTTTGAAACGTGCGACGCATGGTTCGTCTCATGTACACGGTGTCCCGTTTCGTTTACGAGGAAACGTGTCCCATGGAACGATCCTCCTCAGGCGGCCGAATATTATCGAATGATATCATCGCGCGAGTATTAGGCGAAATCTGGAAATAGCGTGTTTGCGGAACGTTTACCGAACGTTCACCCTCTTTTGCCACGATTAAAATCTCGCGCACGTATTTTTCATGTTTTTATTCGACACATTGACGTTGTCGGCCATGCGGAACACAGTTGCACTCGGCACATGGAGATTGAAAGAAATCATTCTCTGATAAATTGCTGGATGGGAAAAAAAGGTGCTTTCGGCTATTTCGAGCCGATTCGTTCCCTTTGATTGTTCGTCAAAGTCGATAAACTATCTTGAAAACAACTCGGAAGCATGTGCACGCCTGAGGCGTTCCACGCAGCTTTGGTGGTCGTCGCTGTTCCTCCATCTGTGCACGGACATTTAAAGGGTCAACAGACTGTAAGAGTCGCTTTTAGTTACGTGCTATTTCTAAGATACATCCGTTCCGTAATCCGCCGCCTAGCTTTCTAAGGCGGTTGGCCCTGAATATGGCATTGGCTATTTCCGTATGTACTATCGGAGTCATCGTTTAATTGTTCCTCGATCGGGCCACGTGACAGCTTGACCGCAAAATGAGGAATCCGTCCTGCAGGAACTTACTTTCACGGATCCTCCATCCGGATGCAGCATAGCCGAGATAAATTTATACGGAAAGATGCGAATATTAATAGAAGCGTTATCGACGAATAAGAGTGGAAGTTTCAAGCTGTGCGCGTCGCGTTGCTAATTTTTGAACACCGCCGAATGTTTTGTCGGCACGAACTGGGCGTGCGTTCGACTCGCCGGCGTGGCAAAATTTTCTGAAACTAATTCTGGTACGATCGTTTCGAAATTATGTTTATGTAATTCGGTAGAGGTGTTTACGATTGTATTTACGGTACACATCCTAGTTGCAGCGCGTAACGATAACGCCAGCTTTCAGAACTGCTTTACAAAGTATTCTCATCGAAGCGACGGACCGAAGTGAGCATTATCACCAAATATTGTTCCTATAGAATTAACAAAATCGTTAGAACACGGCAGGATGAAAATTGTTCGCGCGGCTACGCAAGTTGTTTATTCATCGACTAGACCACTTGAAATATAATAACTAGACTGCGGATTTGATACGTTTACGTTAAAAGTGATCAAGTGAAGTGAAGAAACTGTGTACACATTAGTACGATTTAAGGATATTATTAATATTGTTTTCAACATATTACAATTATCGAAAAATGGAAGACATTTGTCTCTGATTTCCTACAATTGACTTGGATAATTTTTATTTCGCATAAACATCCGCTGATTAATAATAACGACTGAACATTCACGCGATCGGAGGTTTAACGTGTAATAGACAATGTTGAAATGGAAGACTTCTTACAGCTCACCTTCAATGATCGGTGGTTTTGTACGTGTTGATAACCAGTGGTTATCAACACGTATCTATTATCAACGCTGCGAGCATAAAGTAGATAGGACCCAAATATCGAGTGTACGACACATTAATCTCTGGTAATAAATGTAACACCAGGATATCCTTCATAAATACAAAATATAGGAACAAGAGTCCCCTAGTTTTCGATTGGCTTCGTTCGATTTATGTAAGCATTAGATGTGGCATACAATAATTTAAATAGCCTCGCTCTTGTTACCTTGTGTTGCCACTGTGATCGACTATTATATAAATATTTGATATACAGTTCTATCATTTATACTTAATTCATATACGTAGATACTATAACATCATGGTAGAATTAAAAAAATTAGAAGAATTAAAAAAAAAAGAATTAGAAAAGTTCGTTGCATTACATTTCGTTGGCACGTTTAATAATTAGAAAAATTAAATTAATTTCTTGTGTATGAGACGCAACGAGAACGATTTAGTTCCCCATTTCAACATTATGGTGTTACACGAGAATGAATGAACGTAACCGAGCACGGAACATTTAGTCATCAATATTTCATGATTACTGCCGACGGTGACTGATCTTATTCAAGCGTTACACAAGATTATCACAGCTATTCAATTTTACATCATCAATTTTATACAACACTCGATGTATTCCACCCCTCTCAATCGAACCTTGACCTCCGACCTTTGTAATCTACCGCATACCGCTGAAATTATAATACGTTTTTTTGCGTTCCCCTTTTTTCTGTAAACGTTGACCATTATCTACAAAAAAATACCGCTTAACCTTTGGTTCAATAATAATCCACTTTCGACACTGGTCAAAAAAAGATTTTAATTGATTTTTGCTGCATATAAATGTGACGGTATTTGTTAGCAAATACAAATTCTCAGGTGTCAACATTTTGTTTTCAAAGTACGGTAGAACCTCCAGAACTGGAGTTTTTCTCGATCTTTGTTAATTAGATTTTTGATTATTCGCGATGAAACCGTCGAAGGACCTCGATTGAGTCTCGAAACGATCGAAAATAAAAAGAAATCAACTATCAATTTTGAATTCGGCTAATCGAAGTTTTACTGTATTCTCGGACACATGGTCGTGTGTTCATGACATAGAACAATTCTGTTCATCGACACGAGAGCTACGTGCAGCGCGTGCAACGAAATTTTCGTACGAAAACGTGTACCACGGAAGCAATACGGTTTCTCGATCGTCCCTTTCTCTTCCACGGCTCTTTCGGTCGTCCTTCTCCCGGCCTCTTGGTCTTCTGGTTCTCCCTCTTCTCGCCCGAGCCCGGTTACTTCATCGTTCTGCGTGCAGGTTGAACATTCCAAGAGCACGTTGAACCACGGCCACCTTTGTTTCTTGCATATCTATGTGTCTTCTAACCAGCTGCCGCAGTAAATCCCCGCGAGTTAGATGGGTGCCTCCCTTCGTCGAAGAATAAACCAATAATAACGGAACAAATTGAACTGCTACTCGTGTTACACACTGGCCGGAAAACGTGTGTACACGATCGCGGAACGTTCAAGACCGTTCGGATCGTGATTTTCAGGACGATGAAAGGATGCTAGA